CAAAAAATTCCCAAAAAACTCCCAAAAAGCTCCCCAAAAATTTCCAAAATATCCCCCAAAAATTCCTAAAATATCCCCAAAAAACACCCAAAAAATCCCCAAAAAACTCCCAAAAAATCCCCAAAAAACTCCCAAAAAATTCCCAAAAAACTCCCCAAACTCCCCAAAAATATCCCAAAAAATCCCCAAAAAATTCCCAAAAAAACCCCAAAATATCCCAAAAAATTCCCAAAATATCCCCAAAAAATCCCCAAAAACTCCCAAAAAATTCCCAAAAAACTCCCAAAACTCCCCAAAAATATCCCAAAAAATCCCCCAAAATATCCCCAAAAAATCCCCAAAATATCCCAAAAAATTCCCAAAAAACCCCAAAAAATTCCCAAAAAACTCCCAAAATATCCCCAAAAAACTCCCAAAATATCCCCCAAAAAATCCCCAAAAAACCCCCAAAATTCCCCAAAAGTTCCCAAAATATCCCCCCAAAATTTCCAGCTCCTTTTTGTGATATTTCTGGAATTTTTGGGGATATTTTGGGAATTTTTGGGAATTTTTTGGGAATTTTTTGGGAATTTTTGGGGAATTTTTTGGGAATTTTTTGGGGATATTTCGGGAATTTTTGGGGGGAATTTTCTCCTTCCAGAACCGGGAGCTGAAGGAAAAACTGGAATTCTGGGCCGGCAAAACCGCCCGGAAAAATTCCCGCGGCGTCGGCACCGAGTGAGAACCTCGGGAATTCCGGGAATTCTGGGCCTCCATCCCGGGATTTCTTTCGGATGGAGCCATTCCCAAGGTTTTTTTGGGATCTCAGGGAGCTTTTCCTTCCTTCCAGAGTCGTCCCAGAGTTGGGAATTCCCGGGAATTCTCCTTATTTGCTGCTGTGCCGGTGGAAAAAGCGGGAATGCTGAGGGAAAAGCGGGAATTCCGGGCCGGAATCTTCGGGAATAACGCCAATAAAATTGAGGCTGAAATCCCAGAATTCCCTTGATTCTTTCCCTGGGAATTCCGGGAGGGGGGAATGAAAAAAAAAGAGGGATTTGAGGGGGGAAAAATTCGGGAAAATCCCAAAAATTCTGGGAAAAAAAATGGGAATTAAAATCCAAGAGGTTTTTTTTTTTAAGTTCCCTGATTTTGGGTTGTTTGGGAATTCCTGGGAAATCTGGGAAGTAGAGGGAAAAGTAGGGAATGCTGGGGAAAAAGGGGGGGGGGGAAGAGGTGGAATTCCCAAAAAAAAAGCAGGGAAATGGTGGGAAAATGGTGGGAAAATGGCGGGAAAATGGTGGGAAAATTGAGGGAAAAAAGGTGGGAAAATGTGGGAAAATTGAGGGAAAATTGAGGGAAAAATGTGGGAAAATGGAGGGAAAATTGAGGGGAAAATGTGGGAAAAAAGGTGGGAAAATTGAGGGGAAATGGTGGGAAAATGGTGGGAAAATGGTGGGAAAATTGAGGGAAAATGGTGGGAAAATGGTGGGAAAATGGAGGGAAAATTGAGGGAAAATGGTGGGAAAATGGTGGGAAAATGGAGGGAAAATTGAGGGGAAAATGGTGGGAAAATGGTGGGAAAATTGAGGGGAAAATGTGGGAAAAAAGGTGAGAAAACTGAGGGGAAAATGTGGGAAAAAATGTGGGAAAATGGAGGGAAAAGGGGGGGGAAAGGGTGGGAAAAAAGGTGGGAAAATTGAGGGAAAATTGTGGGAATAAATTGGGATTTTAAACCCTTTTTTTGGGAATTTAAACCCTTTTTTTTGGGAATAAACTGGGATTTAAACCCTTTTTTTGGGATTTAAACCCTTTTTTGGGGGAATAAATTGGGATTTTAAACCCTTTTTTTGGGAATAAACTGGGATTTTAAACCCTTTTTTTGGGATTTAAACCCTTTTTTTTGGGAATAAACTAGGATTTTAAATCCTTTTTTTGGGATTTTAACCCTTTTTTGAGAATAAATTGGGATTTTAAACCCTTTTTTGGGAATAAACCCTTTTTTTTATCAATAAATTAGGATTTTAAACTCTTTTTTTGGGAATAAACTGGGATTTAAACCCTTTTTTTAGGAATATTGGGATATTCCCGGATTTCGGGTGGGTTCCCGGATTTCCGGACCGGTCTGGGAGTTTGGGGAGTCTGAACCAGGGTGGGATTCGCACGGGGAAAAAATCTTGGAGGGGTTAAAATCACCGGGAAACCTGGAAGAAAACCCACAGGCCTCAGAGGCCTCACAGGCCCCACAGGCCCCATAGGCCTCATATGGCCCCATAGGCCCCATAGGCCCTATAGGCCTCACAGGCCCCACAGGCCCCACAGGCCCCATAGGCCTCACAGGCCCCATAGGCCTCATGTGCCCCATAGACCCCACAGGCCTCACAGGCCTCATATGGCCCCACAGGCCCCACAGGCCTTATAGGCCCCACAGGCCCCATAGGCCTCATATAGGCCCCATAGGCCCCATAGGCCTCACAGGCCTCATGTGCCCTACAGGCCTCATAGTCCTCATATGGGCCCCATAGGCCTCACAGGCCCCATATGGCCCCATAGGCCTCACAGGCCCCATATGGCCCCATAGGCCTCACAGGCCTCATGTGCCCCACAGGCCCCATAGGCCCCACAGGCCCCATAGGCCTCATAAGCCTCATAGGCCTCATGTGCCCCACAGGCCCCATAGGCCTCACAGGCCTCATGTGCCCCACAGGCCCCACAGGCCCCATAGGCCTCATAGACCCCACAGGACCCATAGACCTCATATGGCCCCATAGGCCTCACAGGCCCCATAGGCCTCATATGGCCCCATAGGCCTCATAAGCCCCATAGGCCCTATAGGCCTCATATGGTCCCATAAACCTCATAGGCCTCACAGGCCCCATAGGCCTCACAAGCCTTACAGGCCTCATATGGGCCGCATAGGCCCCATAGGCCCCATAGGCCTCATAAGCCTCATATGGCCCCATAGGCCCCACAGGCCTCATATGGGCCCCATAGGCCTCATATGGGCCCCATAGGTCCCATAAGCCTCATGTGCCCCACAGACCCCATAGGTCTTATAGGCCCCACAGGCCCCATAGACCCCATAGGCCCCATATGGCCCCATAGGCCTCACAGGCCTCATGTGCCCCACATGGCCCCATAGGCCTCATATGGGTCCCATAGGCCCCATAGGCCTCATAGGCCCCATAGGCCTCATATGGCCCCATAGGCCTCACAGGCCTCATGTGCCCTACAGGCCCCATAAACCCCACAGGCCCCATAGGCCTCATAGACCCCACAGGTCCCATAGACCCCACAGGCCCCATAGGTCTCACAGGTCTCACAGGTCCCATAGACCCCACAGGCCCCATAGGCCTCATAGACCCTACAGGTCCCATAGGCCTCATATGACCCCATAGGCCTCATAGGCCTCACAGGCCTCATATGGCCCCATAGGCCTCATATGGGCCCCATAGGCCCCATAAGCCTCATAAGCCTCACAGGCCTCAAAGGCCTCACAGGCCCCACAGGCCCCATAGGCCCCACAGGCCTCATGTGCCCCACAGGCCTTACAGGCCTCATGTGGCCCACAGGCCCCATAGGTCCCATAAGCCTCATAAGCCCCATAGGCCCTATAGGCCTCATATGGCCCCATAGGCCTCACAGGCCTCATGTGCCCCACAGGCCCCATAGGCCTCATATGGCCCCATAGGCCTCACAGACCCCACAGGCCTCATGTGCCCCACATGGCCCCATAGGCCTCATATGGGCCCCATAGGCCCCACAGGCCTCATATGCCCCATAGGCCCCACAGGCCTCACGTGCCCCATAGGCCCCATAAGCCTCACAGGCCTCATGTGCCCCACAGGCCCCCATAAACCCTATAGGTCTCACAGGCCTCATGTGCCCCACAGGCCCCATAGGCCCCACAGGCCCCATAGATCTCATAGACCCTACAGGTCCCATAGACCCTACAGGCCCCATAGGCCTCATATGGGCCCCATAGGCCTCACAGGCCTCATGTGCCCCACAGACCCCATAAGCCTTATAGGCCCCATAGGTCCCATATGCCTCACAGGCCTCATGTGCTCCACAGGCCCTATAGGCCTCATGTGCCCCATATGGCCTCATAGGCCTCATGTGCCCCATATGGCCTCATAGGCCTCACATGCCCCAGAAGCCCCATAGGCCACATTTGCCCCACAGGCTTCAAAGGCCCCATAGGCCCCCACAAACCCCATAGGCCTCACAGGCCCTATAGACCTCACGTGCCCCATAAGCCCCAGAGGTCACATTTGCCCCACAGGCCCCACAGGCCTCATCTGCCCCACAGGCCCCACAGACCCCAGAGGCCTCACATGCCCCATAAGCCCCATAGGCCACATTTGCCCCATAGCCCTCATAGGCCTCACATGCCCCATAAACCCCAGAGGCCACATTTGCCCCATAGGCCTCATGTGCCCCACAGGCCTCATCTGCCCCACAGGCCCCATAGGCCTCACAAGCCCCATAGACCCCACAAAGGCCTCAGAGGCCCCACAGGCCTTGAAGGCCCCAAAAACCCCATAGGCCTCCCAGACCCCACAAAGGCCTCAGAGGCCCCACAGGCCCTACAGGCCTCAAAGACCCCAGAAACCCCACAAAGGCCTCAGAGGTCCCACAGGCCCTACAGGCCTCAGAGGCCTCACAGACCCCACAAAGGCCTCACAGGCCCCACAGGCCCTACAGGCCTCACAGGCCCCACAAACCCCAAAAAGGCCTCACAGGCCCCACAGGCCCTACAGGCCTCAAAGGCCTCACAGGCCCCACAAACCCCAAAAAGGCCTCGAAGGCCTCGAAGGCCCCACAGGCCTCATAAACTCCCTCAACCCCCCCGGTGCGATTCCAGCCATTTAATATTAAACTCTTGTAATTCCATAAATAACCCAGGATACAAAAATAACCCTTTTTCTCCCTCCCCCCCCCCAACCCCCCCAACCCCCAAATTCCTTCGTTTTCCCGCCGGAATTTCCTCACGGGGCGGGTTTGGGAATTTCCTGGAATTCTTCCTGCTTTTTGAAGAAGAGCTGGGCCAGGATGTGATCGGCCGTTCCGTGGAAATATTGGGACATCCGGAGCGTTTCCAGCTGGGGAGGGAGAAAATGGCGGAATGAGGGGAGGAAGGGCGGGAAAATGGCGGGAAAAAAGGCGGGAAAATGGTGGGAAAAGGGGGGGAAAATGGTGGGAAAATGGGGAGGAAAATGGTGGGAAAAGGGGGGGGAATGGTGGGAAAATGGTGAGAAAATTGAGGGAAAATTGAGGGAAAAAAGGTGGGAAAATGGTGGGAAAATTGAGGGAAAATGGTGGGAAAAAAGGTGGGAAAATGGTGGGAAAATGGTGGGAAAATGGTGGGAAAATTGAGGGAAATGGTGGGAAAAAAGGTGGGAAAATGGGGAGGAAAAAAAGTGGGAAAATGGTGGGGAAAAAAGGCAGGAAAATGGTGGGAAAAAGAAGGAAAACTGGTAGGAAAATGGTGGGAAAAAAAGATGGGAAAAAAGGCAGGAAAATGGTGAGAAAATGGTGGGAAAATTGAGGGAAAATGGTGGGAAAATTAAGAGGAAAATGTGGGAAAAAAGGTGGGAAAAAAGATGGGAAAATGGAGGGAAAAGGGTGGGAAAATGGTGGAAAAAAAGGTGGAAAAAATGTGGGAAAATTGTGGGAAAAAGGTGGGAAAAAATGGGAAAAAAGGTGAGAAAATGGAGGAAAAATGGTGGGGAAAAAAGTGGGAAAATTGAGAAAAAATGGAAGGAAAATGATGGGGAAAAAGTGGGAAAATGAGGAAAAAAAGTGGGAAAAAAGATGGGAAAAAAGGTGGGAAAATGGTGGGAAAAAATGGGAAAAAAAGGTGGGAAAATGGTGGGAATAAATATGGGAAAATTGAGGAAAAATGGAGGGAAAATGGTGGGAAAATGGTGGAAAATGGTGAGAAAATGGTGGGAAAAAAAGGGGGGGGGAAAGGGTGGGGAAAAAAGGTGGGAAAAAGGTGGAAAAAATGTGGGAAAATGGTGGGAACATGGTGGGAAAAAAGGTGGGAAAATGGAGGGAAAATGGCAGGGAAATGGCAGGGAAATGGTGGGGAAATGGTGGGAAAATGGAGGGAAAAAAAAGTGGGAAAATTGAGGAAAATGGTGGGAAAAAGGTTGGAAAAAAGAAGGGAAAATAGTGGGAAAATGGTGGGAAAATTGAGGGGAAAATGTGGGGAAAAAGGCAGGAAAATGGTGGGAAAGAGAAGGAAAAATGGTGGGAAAATTGTGGGAAAAAAAGAAGAGAAAATGGTGGGAAAAAGGTGGGAAAAGGGTGGGAAAAGGGTGGGAAAAAAGGTGGGAAAAGGGTGGGAAAATGGTGAGAAAATTGAGGGAAAATGGTGGGAAAATGGTGGGGAAAAAAGGTGGAAAAAGGGTGGGAAAAAAGGTGGAAAAAAGGTGGGAAAATGGAGGGAAAAATGTGGGAAAATTGAGGAAAAATGGTGGGAAAATTGAGGGGAAAATGTGGGAAAAAAGGTGGGAAAAAAGGTGGGAAAATGGAGAGAAAAGGGTGGGAAAATGGTGGGAAAAAAAGGTGAGAAAATTGAGGGAAAATGGTGGGAAAATGGTGGGAAAAAAAGTGGGAAAAGGGTGGGAAAATGGTGGGAAAAAAAGGTGGAAAATGGAGGAAAAATGGTGGGAAAATGGTGGGAAAATTGAGGGAAAATGGTGGGAAAATGGTGGGAAAATTGTGGGAAAATGGTGGGAAAAAAGAAGGGAAAATGGAGGAAAATGGTGGGAAAAAAAGGTGGGAAAAGGGTGAGAAAAAAGGTGGGAAAAAAGTGGGAAAATGGTGGGGGAAAAAAGGCAGGAAAATGGTGGGAAAATGGTGAGAAATTGGAGGGAAAAAAGGCAGGAAAATGGTGGGAAAATGGTGGGAAAAAAAGGTGGAAAAAAGGTGGAAAAAAGGCAGGAAAATGGTGGGAAAAAAAGTGGGATAAGGGTGGGAAAATGGTGGGAAAATTGAGGGAAAATGGTGGAAAAATGGAGAGAAAATGGTGGGAAAATGGTGGAAAAATGGTGGGAAAATGGTGGGAAAAAAAAGGCGGGAAATATGGAATTACGGAATTACAGAATGGGAACGAAAACTCGGGAATAACGGGAATAAAACCCTTGGGAATCCCCCACCTGGTCCCCGGTGCTGTAGGCCAGGAGCAGGACGAGCTCCTCCTGGCAGGTGCTGCGGAGGAAATGTTGGGTTCCCGTCGGGAAGAAGAGGAGGTCGCCGATGCCGATGGGAAAGACGGAGGCGCTTCCCGCCGGGATCACGCCGGCCTGAGGGGGGGGAGATTCCCAAAGTTTGGGATTGGATATTCCCAAAATTTGGGATTAAATATTCCCATGGAATAGGAGGGATCTGGGATTGGATATTCCCAGGATTTAGGAAGAATCTGGGATTGGATATTCCCAAAATTTGGGATTAAATATTCCCATGGAATAGGAAGGATCTGGGATTGGATATTCCCAAGATTTGGGATTGGATATTCCTGGGATTTAGGAAAAATCTGGGATTGGATATTCCCAAGATTTGGGATTGGATATTCCCAGGATTTAGGAAGGATCTGGGATTGGATATTCCCAGGATTTGGGATTGGATATTCCCAAAATTTGGGATTGGATATTCCCAGGATTTAGGAAGGATCTGGGATTGGATATTCCCAGGATTTTGGGATTAAATATTCCCATGGAATAGGAAGGATCTGGGATTGGATATTCCCAAGATTTGGGATTAAATATTCCCATGGAATAGGAGGGAGCTGGGAGTGGATATTCCCAAAGTTTAGGAAGGATCTGGGATTGGATATTCCCAAGGTTTGGGATTAAATATTCCCATGGAATAGGAAGGATCTGGGATTGGATATTCCCAGGGTTTGGGATTGGATATTCCCAGGGATTTGGGATTGGATATTCCCAGGATTTAGAAAGGATCTGGGATTGGATATTCCCAAGGTTTGGGATTGGATATTCCCAAGATTTGGGATTGGATAATCCCAGGGTTTAGGAAGGATCTGGGATTGGATATTCCCAAAATTTGGGATTAAATATTCCCATGGAATAGGAGGGATCTGGGATTGGATATTCCCAGGGATTTGGGATTGGATATTCCCAGGATTTAGGAAGGATCTGGGATTGGATATTCCCAAGGTTTGGGATATTTTGCTCATTCCCAGGAATATTTTGCTCATTCCCAGGAATATTTGGCCCATTCCCAGGAATATTTGGCTCATTCCCAGGAATATTTGGCTCATTCCCAGGGAATATTTGGCTCATTCCCAAGGATTTCTCCCAGGGAATTCCCGACTCACCTCCCCGCATCCGCTGAGCACGTAGCCCATCTCGTGGGCATTGAAGTGGAAGTGGGGCTGCCCGAGGCCATTCCCAAAAATCCGCAGGATCGCCAGGGTCAGGGTGTCGGCGTGCTGGAAAACACAGCCCAAAAAATCCCGAAAAAATCCTTTAAACATCCCAAAAAAATCCCTGAAAAATCCCTAAAAAATCTCTTTAAAATCCCTGAAAAATCCCTTAAAAATCCCTTAAAAATCCCTAAAAAACCCTTTAAAAAACCCTTTAAAAATCCCTAAAAAATCCCTAAAAAATCCCTTAAAAATCCTTAAAAATCCCTGAAAAATCCTTAAAAAATCCCTGAAATATCCCTAAAAAATCCCTTAAAAATCCCTAAAAAATCCTTAAAAAATCCTTAAAAATCCCTAAAAAATCCGTGAAAAATCCTTAAAAAATCCCTAAAAAATCCCTAAAAAATCCCTAAAAAATCCCTAAAAAATCCCCCAAAAATCCCTAAAAAATCCCTTAAAAATCCCTAAAAAATCCTTAAAAATCCCTAAAAAATCCCATAAAAATTTCAGGATCCTTTCCTTCTAAATCCCGGGATTTTTTGCCCCTCTGGAATTCCCGGGATTCCTTACCTGGTGCAGGGACTCGCTGAAGATCTTCTGGTTATCCGTCAATCCGGCGCCGTCGCGGCGGTACCGGGCCCACCGGAACGTTCCGCCCGGGAACGGGAATTCCTGGGAGCCTGGGGAAGGATTTGGGATGAGTTTGGGAAGCTTGGGAATTCTTTTGGGAATTCTGGTGGGTTGCCCTGGGGGATTTATCCGAGATCTGGAGGGAAATTTGGGAATATCCAATCCCAGAGAGTTCCTAAATTTTGGGAATATCTAATCCCAAATCTCTGGGAATATCCAATCCCAGATCCTTCCTAAATCCTGGGAATATCCAATCCCAGATCCTTCCTAAATTTTGGGAATATCCAATCCCAAAACCCTGGAATATCCAATCCCAGATCCTTCCTAAACTTTGGGAATATTCAATCCCAGATCCTTCCTATTCCATGGGAATATTTAATCCCAAATCTTGGGAATATCCAATCCCAGATTATTCCTAAATCTTAGGAATATCCAATCCCAGATCCATCCTAAAATCTGGGAATATCTAATCCCAAAACCTTGGGAATATTCAATCCCAGATCTTTCCTAAATCTTGGGAATATTCAATCCCAAATCTCTGGGAATATCCAATTCCAGATCCTTCCTAAACCTTGGGAATATCCAATCCCAGATTATTTCTAAACTTTGGGAATATCCAATTCCAGATTATTCCTAAATCCTGGGATTATCCAATCCCAAATCTCTGGGAATATCCAATCCCAGATCCTTCCTAAACTTTGGGAATATTCAATCCCAGATGGCTCCTAAACTTTGGGAATTTCCAATCCCAGATCCTTCCTAAACTTTGGGAATATCCAATCCCAGATTGCTCCTAAATCCTGGGAATATTCCCATCCCAAATTCCCACCTTGGAGGTCGTAGAAGTAGCGCCAGACCAGGGGATCCGGGGATTGGGAATAGCTGGAATTCTGCACCAGCTCGTCCAGGTTTTCCGGCAGGTTGACGGCCTGGTCCTCTCCCGGCCTCCGGAATGTGCGGATGAACTTCACGCCGCCCTCGGGCTAGAGGGGGGGGGGAAAAAATTGGGATTTTTAAAAATTTTTAAGGGATTTTTTAAGGGATTTTTAAGGGATTTTTAAGGGATTTTTTAGGGATTTTTTAAGGGATTTTTAAGGGATTTTTTAGGGATTTTTAAGGATTTTTAAGGGATTTTTTAAGGATTTTTTAGGGATTTTTAAGGATTTTTAAGGGATTTTTAAGGGATTTTTTAGGGATTTTTTAAGGGATTTTTTGGGGATTTTTTAGGGATTTTAAGGGATTTTTTAAGGATTTTTTAAGGGATTTTTTAGGGATTTTTAAGGGATTTTTTAGGGATTTTTAAGGGATTTTTTAAGGGATTTTTTAGGGATTTTAAGGGATTTTTAAAGGAATTTTTAAGGATTTTTAAAGGATTTTTAAAGGGTTTTTAAGGGGTTTTTAAGGATTTTTAAGGAATTTTTGAAGAATTTTTAAAGGAATTTTTAAAGGAATTTTAAAGGAATTTTTAAAGGAATTTTTCAGAAATTTTTCATGAATTTTTAAATGAATTTTTAAGGAGTTTTTAATGACTTTTTAATGAACTTTTCATCAATTTTTCATGAATTTTTGAGGAATTTTCAAAGAATTTTTCAGGAATTTTTAACGAATTTTTCATGAATTTTTAATGAATTTTTAATGAATTTTTCATGAATTTTTCAGGAATTTTTTAATGAATTTTTCATGAATTTTTCATGAATTTTTCACGAATTTTTAATGAATTTTTCATGAATTTTTCACGAATTTTTCATGAATTTTCCATGAATTTTTCATGAATTTTCCATGAATTTTTCATGAATTTTCCATGAATTTTCCATGAATTTTTCATGAACTTTCCATGAATATTTCATGAATTTTCCATGAATTTTTCATGAATTTTCCATGAATTTTTCACGAATTTTTCACGAATTTTTCAGGAATTTTCCATGAATTTTCCATGAATTTTCCATGAATTTTTCATGAATTTTCCACGAATTTTTAACGAATTTTTCACGAATTTTTCATGAATTTTCCACGAATTTTTCATGAATTTTTCATGAATTTTCCACGAATTTTCCACAAATTTTCCATGAATTTTTCATGAATTTTTCACGAATTTTTCACGAATTTTTAACGAATTTTCCACGAATTTTTCACAAATTTTTCCGGAATTTTCCCGGAATTTTTCCGGAATATTTTCATGAATTTTTAAACGAATTTTCCGGAATTTCTAAGGAAATTTCAGGAATTTTTTTCCCCAAATTCCCCACCTGCAGCACCCTGGCCAGCACGTCCTCCGGCGTCTCAAAAAAGGCATCATCCACATCCAGGGTTTGATTTTTAAGGGATTTTTAAAAGATTCTTAAGGGATTTTTAAGGAATTTTTAAGGAGTTTTTAAAGAAATATTTAAGGAATTTTTAAGGAATTTTTGAGGAGTTTTTTAGGGAATTTTCAGGGATTTTTAAGGGATTTTTTAAGGAAGTTTTAGGGAATTTTAAAGGAATTTTTAAAGAATTTTTAAGGAATTTTTAGAAGAATTTTTAAGGGATTTTTAAAGGAATTTTTAAGGAATTTTTTAAGGAATAATTAAATGAATTTTTAAGTATTTTGAAGAATTTTTAAAGGAATTTTTAAGGAATTTTTAATGAATTTTTGAGGAATTTTAAAGGAATTTTTCAGGAATTTTTAAAGGAATTTTTCAGGGATTTTAAAGGAATTTTTAATGAATTTTTAAATGAATTTTTGAGGAATTTTAAAGGAATTTTTCCGGAATTTTTAAATGATTTTTGAGGAATTTTTGAGGAGTTTTTTAATGAATTTTTAATGAATTTTTAAACGATTTTTAAGGAATTTTTAATGAATTTTCCAGGAATTTTTAAAGGAATTTTTTAGGAATTTTTTAGGAAATTTTTGAGGAATTTTTAAATAAATCTTTTCATGAATTTTTCATGAATTTTTCATGAATTTTCCATGAATTTTCCATGAATTTGTCATGAATTTTTCAGGAATTTTTCATGAATATTTTAATCAATATTTTAATGATTTTTTCATGAATTTTTCAGAAATTTTTAACGAATTTTTCACGAATTTTTCCGGAATTTTCCCGGAATTTTTCAGGAATATTTAATGAATTTTTAACGAATTTTAAATGAATTTTTCATAATTTTTTCATGAATTTTTCATGAATTTTTCATGAATTTTTCATATATTTTTTATGAATTTTTCATGAATTTTTTAATGAATTTTTAATGAATTTTTAAGGAATTTTTAACGAATTTTTAAGGAATTTTTCAGGAATTTTCCACGAATTTTCCATGAATTTTTCATGAATTTTCCATGAATTTTTCACGAATTTTTCACGAATTTTCCACGAATTTTCCACGAATTTTCCATGAATTTTTCATGAATTTTTCATGAATTTTTCCGGAATTTTCCCGGAATTTTTCAGGAATATTTTCATGAATTTTTAACGAATTTTCCACGAATTTTCCACGAATTTTTCACGAATTTTTCACGAATTTTCCATGAATTTTTAACGAATTTTCCACGAATTTTTCCGGAATTTTCCCGGAATTTTTCAGGAATATTTTCATGAATTTTTAAACGAATTTTCCGGAATTTCTAAGGAAATTTCAGGAATTTTTTCCCCCAAATTCCCCACCTGCAGCGCCCTGGCCAGCACGTCCTCCGGTGTCTCAAAGAAGGCATCGTCCACATCCAGGGTTTGATTTTTAAGGGATTTTTAAAGGATTCTTAAGGAATTTTTAAGGGATTTTTAAGGAATTTTTAAGGAGTTTTTAAAGAAATATTTAAGGAATTTTTAAGGAATTTTTGAGGAGTTTTTTAGGGAATTTTCAGGGATTTTTAAGGGATTTTTTAAGGAATAATTAAATGAATTTTTAAGCATTTTTAAGAATTTTTAAAGGAATTTTTAAGGAATTTTAAAAAAATTTTCTAGGAATTTTTCAGGAATTTTTAAAGAATTTTCAAGGGATTTTAAAGGAATTTTTAATGAATTTTTTAAATGAATTTTTCTGAGGAATTTTAAAGAGAATTTTTCAGGAATCATTTTAAAATGATTTTTGAGGAATTTTTGAGGAGTTTTTTTAATGAATTTTCATGAATTTTTAAAAGATTTTTTATGAATTTTTCATGAACTTTCCATGATTTTTAAAGACTTTTTTTAAAGAAATTTTTAATGAATTTTTCAGTAATATTTCATGAATTTTTGAGGAATTTTTGAGGAATTTTTAAAGAATTTTTTAATGAATTTTTCATGAATTTTTAATGGATTTTTTAATGAATTTTTTAATGAATTTTTAATGAATTTCTTAAGGAATTTTTAATGAATATTTAACTGAACTTTTAATGGATTTTTTAATGAATTTTAAAAGAAATTTTTAAAGAAATTTTTCATGAATTTTTCACGAATTTTCCATGAATTTTTCAGGAATTTTTTAATGAATTTTAAACGAATTTTCAGGAATTTTTAAAGGAATTCTTCAGGAATTTTTCAGGAATTTTCCACGAATTTTTCATGAATTTTTAATGAATTTTTAAGGAATTTTCCATGAATTTTTAAAGAATTTTTCATGAATTTTCCATGAATTTTTCAGGAATTTTTCATGAATTTTCCATGAATTTTTCACAAATTTTCCACGAATTTTCCACGAATTTTCCATGAATTTTTCACGAATTTTTCACGAATTTTTCACGAATTTTTCAGGAATTTTC